TCCAAGTATAATCACATGAGAGGTTAAGGTTTCAATATAAAAATGTGAGTGGGGGACACAATTCAAACCATCGCTAAGAGAGAATCAGAGAAAGCAACTATAAAGCGCTTTCATGGATTTTTCCTGTGCAGAAATGGAACAAATTGAGTTTGCTGGAAAGCAATATAGGATCAAGAAAAAATTGCTTGATTCAAGGTGAGTAGGAGAAATAAAAGTATGCTTATATGTTGATGACAATGATTCAGTAAGAGGGAATATGGGAAATTGCTGGGGTGATGTCCTTGATAGATGAAGGGCAGAGGAGCACATATGGTTCTGCCAAAGCAGGAGACAGAATGAAAGGACACAGGTACACAGAGTCCTGTCCATACAGTGGGAGCTGGGCAGGGCTCTTGGAAATTCTCTTCTGATTATCTGTTTCCTTAATGGAATAAAAAGTGGAACTTACCAACTGGGAGAGGAAATGATGGTAGTTTGAGGTCAGAGGAAAAGGTATGGGAGTCATCTAGGATAGCAGGAGAGTGATGGACTAGGGACATGTAATATAATTAATTACCAGGGAGCATTAAGGACACACTTAAAGCTTGTGGTCATGAATTTCAAGACAAGTAAACAGGTTGCATGCTTTCGCCAAGCCATGGGTTGCCACACAAATGCAGGCAGAAGTAGAAAAATGAATTTAACCAAGTTTTGACTTAGCCAAGGGGCATAAGGAAGTATGAAAGGCACTGGTGTCTGTATTATTGTACCATGCAATGCAGCCCTTTCTGTCTTGAGTTAGAATCAGTTGGGGGTTCACCTTCTGTCTTCCAGAGATTAAACTTCTTCACCAGAGGACTTTAATTTTTATTTTTCATCCTTACATTTTCCAGTGACCCTAGCACAATCAATGACTTAAAATAGGAAATGTTCAGAATCCTTCCTAAACAAATGATTCCAGGAATCCCAGGGAATTATCCTGATGCTGAGCCACTTGGAAGAGGCTCCCAGGGTGAGCAGTGATAGATATGGGCAAAATCCATTTATACAGAGAGAGGCTGGGGGCCTTCATGAAATGGTCCATGGAAACTGGCCCCCTGGATCCTTCCATAGGCTGCCTCTAACCCTTTATAGCCAAAGTAAAAATTCATTTAACAGATATCCAGACCCCACCAAAAAAAAAAAAAAAAAACTGTGCACAGAAAATGCAATAAAATGGACATAGTTAGCCCTAAGAGAACATGAGCTAACATTCACTACATAATTACTATGCTCTATGCAGTGTTTTAAGAGCCTTAGAAATCGAATTAATTTTCATCATAATCTTATATTGATTCAGAATTATTCGTATTATACTATTATCATCATCCCATTTTAGAGATAGAAAGTAGAATTATGTATAATTTACCAAAATTACCCACTGGTAAGCAACAGAGAGAAGAGATGAACTCAGGTTGTCTGGTGCCAGATATGTTTCCAACCACCATTCTAGAGGATTCATATCATTTTCCTAGAATCTAAAAAAGTTATTCACTTAACTTGAGGGGAATCAAAATATGCTCTGCCTCAAATCCACTGGCTAAAATCACAACCCTCATCTTTCCTTTGGGTTCAATCATAGCCCTACTTTAGAATGGAAGTCGAAAGACCCACACCTTAGTAGATTTCAGTATGACACCTCCCAGGCAGACACAAGGCCAAGGGTCAGAAGATTTGGGACTAATCAATCAATTTCACCATTTACTTATGTGAGTCATTTTAGCTCTCTAAACCTTTTTGTATTTGTATCTATAAATTGGAATAGTTATGCCTGTACTGCCTGCCTTATTAAGATGGACCAGGAGGAGTACCTCCTACAATATTATGTGCTAAACACATCAGAGATTGATAGAACACCAAAGCAGGTAAAATCAAAACACAAGAGAAAAGCTACCTAAAGCACACACAGGTCCAAGTGAGGTCTTTCCAGGACAGGTGACCTTAGGAGTGCTAAGACATCATCAGACCGTGGACAAGGAAAAAGGAACAAAGGAGAAAAAGGAAGTCCAAGAACCTGCCAATAACCATGAGCTGCTCTGTCCCAGGCCTGGGTGAGGCTAGTTTAGCTGAGCACACAGCACTCGGCAGATACCCAGGGTCAGGGCTTCCACTGGCCCATGTACACTCCTTGTGTGAGCTAAGAATTGGTGCCCCTTTCTCAAGACTCTACTTCTACCTATCAGAAAATTGTCGTGATATACTTACTTTGCTAAATTAAGATATTTTACTGGCGTAGACCTGAAAAACTGTTGTAACAAAATGAAAGACTACAGTGGTACTGTTTTGGTCAGCTTTTTTGCTGCTGTGCCTGAAAGATCTGACCAGAACAATTTTAGGGAAGGAAAAGTTTATTTGAGGGCTCATGGTTTCAGAGGTCTCATTCCATAGACAGCTGGTTACATTCTTAAGGGCTTGAGGTGAGGCTGAATATCATGGTGGAAGAGTGTAGTGGAGGGAAGTGGCTCATATGATGATCCAGGAGTCAGAGAGAGAGGGAGAGACTCTACTCACCAGATACCAAATATATGCACCAAAGGCACGCACCCCAATGACCCACCTCCTCCAGACATACCCTAACTGCCTTTAGTTACCACTAAGTTAATTCCATCAGAGGATTGATCCACTGATTGGGTTAAGACTCTCATAACCCAATCATTTCTACTCTGAATCTTCTTGCATTATCTCACATGTGAGTTTTGCAGGACACATCACATCCAACCCATAACAGACACCATGTGAATGGCACCCCCTCGGGTTGTGTAGTGCACAACAACACACAGCAGCTCTGCCTTGGATGAACCTCAATGCTGACCATCCTCCTCTATATCTGTATTTAAAATATCAGAGTGTGGTCATTTTAAGTTTTTAAAATTTGAATATTTTGGTTTCAGTCCCTTAAAATATACTATTATTAACCCGAAATTAGGAAGAATCTTTGAAGATCATAGACTTTCATACACATTTGGGGTAGGTAGGAAGTCAGTGGTGCATTTATATATTGTGTATTATTCAGTTAAGAACTGAGTAGTCATGGTGTTTGGAACAAACCAGTCAGACTCTCCATTTCAGTGGGACCCATTTCTTTAGCCAAATGCCACAGATTCAAAGTTGAATTTAAGGAGGGAAAGAATCTCAGAAAGTTGTTAAGCAAGGTCAAATCCAGTTTTTGTTTTTCTTCACATAGATGTTGTATGTATCTATTTCTTGAATAATAGCCACCTTGTGAAATAATCTCTAATAACATTTACATTTTAGAGGGTTCCTGTCCTGGCACTTATCTCCCAACCACCTATGAGTTCAATATTAGCTCATTTTACAGAGGAAAAGGCTGAGACTTGAGGAGGTAATGTAATTTTGCCTAAAGTAAATAGCCAGTAGGTTGAGGAGTCAGGGTTCCAACCCACTTTCTCGGAATCTATAGCCACCTGCTCTCAGTTACTGAGAGCAATAACTATGAGTAGGGGGATAGTCACAGATTGTAATCCATAAACTACTGTATTTGTAAGTTTTAAGGAATGAGACTAGCACTAGAATATAAGCAAATGGAGCCAAAGTCATGGGTGATATTTACTTGTGGATCAAATCTGTCACACAGCATCCTGAACATCTCACATCCTTGGACCAAGGCAAAGTCAGCACAACAATTTGGACAGTAACTTAGACAACAGCATCATTGTTAAGATCCAAGTAGTATTAGCAAAATATGCAAAATCTAATTTTGAAACTCAGAAAAACATCTTGGAGCTAAAACAATCCCTTCTTTTTTGGCCAACTAAATAAATACAATTTCCTCTACACAAAGTTTGATATATTCATTTATTAAAGCCCTGACCTATACCACCCATTGTTATTGCTATAATATTTGTGTCCTAGAAGAGTTAGCTTCTTCAACCAGTACTTAGAGAAGGATTTGGGAATAATTGCCATTTAATTTCCTTCCTTTTTCTTCTTCTTTATTTGCAGTACTGAAAATTGAATCCCAGGCCTAACACATCCAAGCAAGCACTCTACCATTGACCCCTTTTAGTATTTTATTTTAAAACAGTCCAATTTAGTTGCTCAGGCTGGCCTGGAACTTGAGATCCTCCTGAGTAGCTGGGATTATAGGCATACACAACCAAGCCTGGTCCTCTTTCTTTAATTTGATAGAAAGTGTTCTCATCCAACTGTGAAGATGAAATCAGTGGAATGGTGTGAAATATCAGGTTAATAATGGCCATTTCTCACCCATAAGACAAAGAAGGAAAGTCCTGGTGATTTTTATGACAATAAGCATTAAGAAAAAAACCTCATAAACTTCTAAATCCCAGGGATTTAACGACTTAAAGTCTGAGGAAGCCCCACTGACATCACAGATCCTTCTGCAGTCACAATGCTGCTGAGCCACACTTGGGAAGATGCTCCAGAAACACGAAGACTTCAGTTAGCCTGCAATTGAGATTCGTTGGTATTTGGGCTTTCTAAGAAAGAAAAAAAAATCTCTTTCCTTTTAAAAGATTCAAATCAACAAAAAATAAAACTGAGAAATCAAGCCTCATGAGTTCAGGTATTTACCTCATGAACTACTCAAATTTCTCATTCTTCACTATCTTACTTCTTATTACATATAAACAAAGTAATAAATCCCAAAGAAACCCCTCAGATAGCTTGGGCAAAGTAGGGTATGAAATTATTCTCTATGATTTTAGGACTGTTTGATCTCAACAAATTTCCTAAATATCTCATGGAATTACCCGTGAGGATACACTCCACCTGCTGACTCTGACTGTGATACCAGTATGGCGAAAACTGGGGTAGGGGTTGCGGGGGAAGGACAAGTGTAAAACAAATTTGAAGCCTTTCTTTCAACTTTTACATCTACAAAAACTACCTTAATTTAAAAATAAATAAATAAAACGAAAACATCAGTGCAAAAATTCACTCGTCATAGTTCCTGAGCTGATTCTGCATTCTGGTTGCCTAGATACAGAAGTAAACAAAAGTGCCTCCCCGACTGCAGAGGAACAGCCGGATGAACCTGATGGCCCCCTTCCTGGCTCAGCCAGTGACCAAGAAAAAAAAGCAAGTACTTTAGATATTCATATCAAAAAATATAATATTTTTCTCAGCTTCTTTAAAGCTCAAGGTTGCTTAGTGAGTTTTAAGACATCTTGGAAGAATGGTTTTCCTTTTCCGTCTTCCCATATTGCTTGCTTATTCTGCCTTAAAATAGTGACTGATGACAGCATAGGCTGAAAAGTAGAAGGGTCTCTATACATGAATTGGACTGATTTCAATATATGGAATAATTTTTTTTTATTTCATACTGATTTTTTTTATGAAGGTTCAAAAGGAGCCAAGGTGAACTCCAGGTGCAGATTTTAACAGGAAAAAAGACAATAGCTAAAAAAAAAAAAAGTTTCTTTTATTAGTACTAGTCATATCTTCCACATTAATTAAAAAGGATCTTGTAAACAATCATTGTTTTTAGACTTTGGTAATTCTCATAACACCTGCTCAGTGGATGTAGCCTTTTTATATGGAAAGAGCACCCAAAAGCCAGTACAACATCAAGTACTCATTCGGGGTCTCTATTGACCATTCCACAAACTGTGTGATTTTAGGTGATTTCTTAAACTCTCTGTTTACTCTTTTACAAAATGAGCTAGTTAGGCCTATCAGACAAAGTTGTAGGGTTTCAATGAGCCACTTAGGTAAAGTGTTTAGCAGGTAGGAAGAGCTCAGTTAATAACTAAAGTAGTTATTGTCATCATTTAAATCATCTTGAGCAGTTCTATTACTTCTGATTCTTAAGTTCTCCACCTATAAAAACAATCATCTTAATTATTTTCTATAATAATGAAAGGATTTCAGTTACTTAAAATAATTATCCCTAATACAAAAATAGTGATACCCACTCTTATAGGTCTATTAGAAAAATGAAATTCCATTATATGCAAGAAAGGATTTTATAGTTCATAAAGTCATAAGAATTATAACATTTTAAAATATTCTTATGAAAAAAAGAAAAGTGACACATTTAAAACAATCCCATAATAACCATCAAATTGTTTGACTCTGAGACAATTTTTATATAAAATCACATTCCAGCCTATAGGAAGGAGATAAGAACAAACGCCTATGTTAAATTAACAAAGATGTAAAATTTTAAGTACTGCCTTAGGTACGTAAGATGCATTTTAAAAGAGGAAATAATTGTGCTACCATGGTGATTATTTTGCTGTAGGTAGTAGAATTATAAATAAGATTTTTAATGTAATTTTTAAATTTCTTATACTTTTCCAAATTTTCCTCCATCATGTTTAACTCTTTTAACTTTAAAGTGTGTGTGTACTGGGTGTATTTTTAAAAGGATGCTATTCATCTTCTTCCAAATGAGACTTTAAATTAAAACACGTAGTCCAGGTATGGTGGTGCATACCTGTATCCCAGTGACTCAGGAGGCAGAGACAGGAGAATCACAAGTTCAAAGCCAGCCTCAGCAACTTAGCAAGGCCCAAGCAAATTAGCGAGACCTGTCTCAAAGTAAAAAGGGCTGGGAATGTGGCTCAGTGGTTAATGTGGCACCCTTGGATTCAATTCCTGGTACCAAAATTAATTAATTAACCTAAAACACACATGTACGAATACTCTCACACATACACACATACCTATTACAGTTTAGAAAGAGAAGGAAAAATAACAGCTCAGGGACGTATTGTTCATCATACTTTTTCAATGCACAAATACTTACAGCGGCTACTGGGTACCAAACATGTAAGGCAAGGACCAATCAGTTGCTGAGGAAATAACAAAACCAGATTCTCACTGGCCTGGGGGAGCAGCAGAGAGATGGGAAGGAAAGAACTAGAATGAACTAGGCAAGGACCCCAGGGCCCAGTACAATTCCAGCAGGAAACAGGAGTAAAAGCGTGTGCCAGGGAAGACCAGTCTGATCGCTAAGGATTTAGGATGGTTTCCAGAATGTGCACACATGAGTGCCCAATGGTTAGTAGTGCCAAGCTAGTCTTAGGAGCATCCACACCCATTCCACAATGAGGGTCAAAGCACTATGTAGCAGCTCACCAACTCCGTCCCAAGCAGCCTGGAACCTCTTCTGGTTACCCACCACATGTGGGCTGGGTCAGGAAAGCCTGCCTATTATCAGGGGTCCTTTATTAGCTTCCTAGAAAACGGACTTTTCTAATTTTTAAGTTTTGCTTGTTGTTGTTTTGAAGAGGGAGATTTTCTATTAAGTTTTCCAGTCCTGAATCAATATGTGGTGGTTCCACAGACATTTGTTAAAGGACTGATTTTTGTTTGTGGGTCTTAACACATTCCTGCAATCATTAGGATATAAAGGAATATAAACCAAGAATAATATACCATGGTGCCGCTGGCCGGCTGGCTGGGCAAAATAAGGGAGGGGGGTGACGAATAACTTCTGTAGCTTGATACAGCAGGAGTGGGAGCCATTTATTGCAGGACAGGAGCAGTATTTATACATTCCACACAGCTTATCTAATTAGCATAAACTAGATACAGCAGTCAACCAATCAGGAATCTCCACACTTAATGGCTCACTTTTGTTACTTCTCAAACCACTCCCTCTGGCATTTTGCCAGGCACCATCCAGACTTGTTTACGAACTTTAACATTCCCCTGGCAAAATGCCAGGTGTTATTTTGACTTGTTTACAGACTCTAACATTTCCCCCTTTTGTTTAATTTAAATAAAGACCACAGTGGTTTTTACAGAAACACCATAAATAACCTGCTACAAACAGAAAGGGAGGATACAAAATGCCACAATACCAAGCCAATTGATGGCTCCATGCAAGAAGCCCTTGGAAAAATTATACCAGCAACGACAGCGTTAGCAAAGATACCGAGTTACAATTTGTTGTAGATTACAGTTTGTTGTCTCAGTCCAGGTAAAGCAGTGTCTCAAATAGATTAACTCACAGTCCAGGTAAATCACAGTCCAGGTAAGTTCTGCAGGCAGCTAGCTTAAATCACAGTCCAGGTAAGTTCTGCAGGCAGCTAGCTTGATCCGAAGTCTCGTCCGGTTCTCAGCTGAAATCTCAGTCCGGTTTTCAGCAACACTGGAAATTCTTCCACCTTGGTCTTTACCAGCACTGGGACGAAGGCAGGAAGGCAGGAACTCCGGATGGCTAAAGAAAATCCTGTAGCATTCTACTAAGAAAACAACCTTCTGAACAATTTAGTACATTATCTCAAGGTTTTTTTGCATTTGAAATAAGCATTAATAGTGCTCATTACTCATCAGCTTCCAGGTGTGGGAGAACCATTGTAGCTTAGTTATTGGCATTGAAAATGACCAAACATCAGGGACACCAGTAGTGTCTTCTGCTGGCTGTAGTGCCTGGGCAGCCCCAGATGGCCCTGGGGAGTGTCCTGGACTCAAACTGCTACTGGGCACAGGGAGCAAGAGCCTGCGAGACTGTGCCTCCAGGTCAGGTCTAGATTTGGGCTCCGGGCAGTGGAAGAGCCAGCTCCCCTGCCAGGAGGCGGGGAAGGGCCAGTCGCCGCCACCTCTTGGAAAATCCTTGCTGCGCTGTGACCGGCTTGCACACTTGGCAGCCGCCTCTCTGCTTCACACACCCTCCAGTAACAAAAAGTATTTAGTAATAGCCTTTTGCTGCAACTTTTTTCCTGATAATCCTTCTTCTTCTGAACTTTCTTTTTCTTTCTGACTAGAGTTCCTGGGCTCTTATCAACACATGCCCTAACTATTCTTGGTTCCACTGGGGTGCCTTCTTCCCTTAGTAATTTACTTCTCACCCCTTCCATATTTTCATCACAAAGACAATACAATATACTTAGACAAAACAAGACACAAACATACTGTATCAATCTTCTCCATTTTCTTAAAATGGCCATTTTTCCTCTCGCCCTATCTGCCTAGGGACGAGCAGATTGCTCCCGTCCTATCTATGGACGGGCAGCTTTTTTTCATCACTTACCCCCGAGTGTCCTGGGGCTCCCTGTAATGGGCCACCATCTGCCGCTGGCCGGCTGGCTGGGCAAAATAAGGGAGGGGGCTGACGAATAACTTCTGTAGCTTGATACAGCAGGAGTGGGAGCCATTTATTGCAGGACAGGAGCAGTATTTATACATTCCACACAGCTTATCTAATTAGCATAAACTAGATACAGCAGTCAACCAATCAGGAATCTCCACACTTAATGGCTCACTTTTGTTACTTCTCAAACCACTCCCTCTGGCATTTTGCCAGGCACCATCCAGACTTGTTTACGAACTTTAACATTCCCCTGGCAAAATGCCAGGTGTTATTTTGACTTGTTTACAGACTCTAACACCATGGGAATATGTTTTGTTTAATTTTTTAAATGAGAAAGAATACCAATCACACTCTCCCTAGTAGATTCAGTTCAGTGATATTGACTTCAGTGACTTCCATTTTTTAAAAATGAACGATTAAAATGATAAACTTTTAAATTCACTGTTTTTTATTTTGATATTTCCACAATTAAGAATTTCCCTGTTTTTTCCCGTTTAATTTAATTCATTCCAAATAATCCAACCACCATACTTAGTCCCTCTTTTCACGCTCCCCTTAACTTATAATCGCTTATATAACTATGAGTTTATAATTTAAACAACATAGAACCAAACATGAGAAAATGAAACTGTTTTGTTTTTAAACTTAAAAAATAAAAAAAAAATGGAGTTTAAAGCATTTTCAGCATGTGCAAAACAATGAGTATATTTAGTAACCTCTTTCCCATAGAAATGTTGCCAAATTATCAACCTTTGTATAAATATAACTTTCTAGAATTACCATTTATTAGGTTAGAGGTTGTCAGTTAAGTGTTCATACTAATAAATTATGTACATAGCTATGCTTTGTGCTTTGATTTTTTTTCTCATTGACTACAATAATCTGATATCCAAGTTTCTTAGAACATAAATTTATTTGAAGAGACTAGTTTTATAGCTTGTTTCAAAACTGAACTGATTCCCCTAGGAAATCAGCACATCCAGAATAATTCACTCTATGAGGACTTCTTTCATAACTCAGTCAATAATCACTAGATATTTCATTTAGGAATTATCTAGGAATAATCTATGACTTTGACTTTTTCAAAAGTCAAAAGTTTTTTTTTTCTGTGATATGAAATCTATGAAATACTGCTCTTTAGTATCTCCTGGGAACTTGATTTTGATTATGGTCACTAGCAATACCTATGGGACATGGGCAAGATTAACTGGGATGATGGTCTACAAGCTATGTTTTGTTTGAAATCAAAACTTTTTTTAAGGATAAAATGGACTGTAACATAGCAGAGAATATATTTTAAATTCTTGACCTTTGTTTCAGGTAAAATTTTCTCCAGCTAAAATGTCAACCAAGAATTCTACAGATCTAGTTGAATATGTTGACAAGTAAGTCTATAAAATTACTCCTTTTATGTATTTACTACATTTAATGATTCAGTCAGAGATTAAAGTGCCTAAATAAGACCTTTAAGGTCATCTAAACTAGTTCTCTGCTTTCAGAAATTCTCAACCATCTAAGAAAGATGAATCTCTATCCTATTCCTTTTTGACCACAGAGCAAGCAGATTTTACTCTCTTCTCTTTAAATAACTTCCGTAAATCCCTATAAATTTATTTGTAAAATAATATAGCACAGGCTGTAAATTACATATGATAATTTCAGATATAGCTAACCATGAATCTCAAATTAGCCAAATTGATACGTTAACATTTCATGACAAAAACTCAAGAAAATTTGAAATATTAAAGTGATCATCAGAAAAATTTTCTTTCTTCTATTTACAGTGGCACAGTTAGAGCTCATCCAGGGTGAGTATACAGAAGGGGAACAACTCTGGGCACATCAAATATGATGATGACATATTATTAATACATCATATTATCCAGAAATTCCTAGAATTCTAGTTGGTAAGGGTGGGATTTCAGAGGCAATGTGTATTTATTTGAATTGTCTTATATTTGGCATATCAAGGGAGCATAATTTGGTCTGATGTTCTCATTAATATTTTCAGTACATTTGAGACTTGGACTCTGCTCACTCACTAATTTGCTGTGTGACCTCAGTCAGTCCCATAATGTCTCTGGGTTTTTTTTTTAATATTTATTTTTTAGTTCTAGGTGGACACAGTATCTTTATTTTATGTGGTGCTGAGGATCGAACCCAGTGCTTCATGCATGATAGGTGAACACTCTACCTCTGAGCCACAACCTCAGCCAGTCTCTGGGTTTTAATTGTTTTCTTGTAAGGACAAAAGGATTGGACTAGAGCTCCAGGGTCCACTATAGCTTTTATTAAAAAAAAAATATATGATTCTAAAACATATATAATAACCACAAAATAGGATCAAATAAATAAAATGAGTTGATGAAGAAACAATCTATATACTATACTTCCATTTTTAAAAATGACCAATTAAAATGATAAACTTCTAAATTCACTGATTTTTATTTTGATATTTCCACAATTAAGAATTTCCCTGTTCTTTTCTCTTTTAATTTAATTCATTCCAAATAATCCAACCACAATACTTAGTCCCTCTTTTCATGTTCCCCTTAACTTATAATTGCTTATGTAACCATGAGTTTATAATTTAAACAACATGGGACCAAACATGGAAAAATGATTTTTGTATTGTTGAAAAAATATTACACTTGATGAATGAATTTTTTTGCTGCATTAAGGACAATGAATATGGTACATACAAAAATAATTATCAATGGACATATTAGCTCACCTTACCACCCAAGGAGAAAAAAGAGACTTGTTCCTACCTGATTTCATGTGACAAATGGAAATTAGAAATCGTTCTTCTCATCTATCAAATTCCAGTGTGAACCCAAGAGGCTTTGTTTAATGCACACTGGTGACCTACATTTCAAGGAATGATAGAAAAAATTCCTGGAAAGATGGTAATGAATTTCAGAAAGCCAAGACTTTTTCTTTTTTTTTTTTGATATCTTGTTTTTCAGAGAAATTAAAATTAAGACAAAGAGGAGAAATAGTCTATAAGAACATGATGAGGATTATCTGGCCACAACATTAATTTCTACCTTGATCTTTCTTGTATCCTTTTCTTGCTGTCTGAATCACATGTCTAGAACTTTCCCTTTACCACCTGAGATGGTCAGTTCTCCTCTGATCTCTACCCTATAATCTCAGACTAGCCTGCAACTCCCTAAAGGCAGGGACTCTCTAACCTTGTGCCTGTTGATAACCCTATAGTAGCCCACCATATTGCATGGATATCAATTCTTGATGAACAGCGATTGACAAATTTAACGGAGACTAAGGGTAGAACAATTGAATCATTGCGGCTCTGCTTAAAGTTGCAACGTCAGGCAGCAGTGACCAAAACGAGGCAGATTAAAAAAAGACCGCTGATCAAGGCTTTATTGAGATTTCACTCCCAGGAGGAACCCTCGGACTGACAGCGGGTAAGAAGAGGGTCTGAGGAGAAGCACGTGGCGGGAGGCTCTGGACAGGACTGGAATTTTTATTGGGCTTATGGCAGGAAGAGAGGGCTTGGGACAGGAAAATGGGTTTTTAGAGTACCTTGTCCTACGGGGTTGGTGGGGACGGGTGGCTGGCTAAGATTCAGGATTGGCCAGGAGATCCCACTGATTGACAGGCGTCAGTGCCTGATTAGTGTTTCTTTCATGCTTGTGAGTTGCTTAATCACCTCAAACCGACCTAACATCAGTGGTAGACTTATAGGTAGCTGACTAACTGGAAGAGCAAATCCATGTCCTGGCATTTCAATCATCACTGCAGAGATTTTGAATGGACATATGTAATCCAGTGAACTAAGTGAAGAGCAAGTTTTAAATAACTGCACCCTACAAATCAGAGCATTCACTGGGCACAACAAATGTATTGAAATGCAAACAGAGAACTTAGACAAGTAAAAGTCATTATTGACTCATTAAACTGACAGAATGCATATTACATTTCTCTGAGGTTCAGTCTTAATAAATATATATGGATACATTCAAAGGTGATGCTCAGAACAAATAATAACAATCCCCAAAAGTAAAAATCCAACAACGAAAAGAGGTAATGCCCATCCTATGAAAAAGCTTGGACTGGAGATATGCACACTAGAGACAGGCAATATGGTTGTGTTTACAATGCCCTTCTCAGCCTCAGACAGCTGCAGCAACCTCACATATTATTAGTAGGTTAAATGTTAGGTCATATCAACAATCCACGGGACACAGGATGGCAAAATGCCACTGACAATACAATCATTGATACTGCCAGTTATCGGTGCTCCCTCAAATGTTGATGTCTGAACATTAGAGAAGCACATGAGGCAAGCATATAAGCAGGGCAGGATGGTGCAGCCCGGGACTCCTTAATTAACAACTTCATAGGTTCCTGTAGGGAGGGGCAACTCCTGGGACAGGTTACCTTAGCAACAGGTTGGAGCAGGGGGATGTTCTTGATAAGGGTGGAGGAAGGGTTCAGAAGGAATTAACATTTCAGTTCCTCAGGGGACAGTTCCAACTTACGGGACTCACTCAAAATTGGCCTCCTTGATCCGACATGACTCGATTTACCTATCTATACTGACTGCTTGTCTAATTCTGGCTTCAATATTATATCAAAATCTATGAGTAATTCTGATTTCCACATTTGTTCATCATTTCCACAACTGTTTACAATGAGCAGGCATCCACTGACCTTAGGACAGTGTATCCAGTGCCTATTTGAGCAGTAAAGCACCAAAGCCCTTTTTCTAGTTCTTTTTCTTCTGCTGGTGGAAAGAGCACTAATGGAAACCAGGACATCTCAGGTCTGCTCTTGAGTCGCCTCCCATCAGCTATGTGAACTTGGGAAAAAGAACATTTCTTCTCTGACAATCTGCTCTAAGAAGTGGGGAGGGAGTTTCAAGTGATCAATGATGAGCACTTGTTCCTTCTCACCTCTGCCCTCAATTCTCATCAACAGTCTTCTATGAAATAAAGTAATTATTTAAATTATAATTTAAAACATGTACTATTCTCCCAAGGGGTTTAATTTTGAACAGAAAACAAATTCTGCTCATAAACCTCCTGTTTTTCTTTAATTGACTGAGTTCCTTGCTGGGGGTGGAGAATCAGATACATTCTAAGGTTGCATCTAACCCTCAGATGCTCTGGTCTTCAAAAACTAATTACTGTCAAAACCAGTGCTAAATAGATGCTCATTAAACACCTACTATACTGTAGGTAGGCACTGTGGTAGGAACTTGGAGAGTCACCAGTGAACAAATTAAACAAAGATCTCTTCCCAGTGGAGCTCCCTTCTAGAAAGAGGCAACAGTATGTATTGCTGGGTAGCCAGGTCAACACAGGCCTCATTGAGACACTGGCATTTGAGCCAAGACCAAGACAGGAAGGTTTGAGCCATGTGATCATCTTGAGAAAGAGTCAAGTTTTTAAGGCAGGTATAAAAAGGGAGCAAGGAGGACAGGAAAAAAAAAAGGATGGAAGTATGAATTTGAACCACGTGTCTGGAATTTTATTTGGAAGTCTCTGGATAGAAAGAATCCTGAGACTCTGCTGCCTCTGAGGAAAGTTCTAAGTTTCCCTTACAAAAAACAACTTACAAATGGATTAATTTGTCCAGGCTTAGTAATCTCAGTACTTCTCTCAAGAGTACATTTTGAGAAGATGAGGGTCTGGTTGACAATCAAAGAATGATATTTAAAATTTGGATAGATAAAACTTTAAGTAAGTCAAAGGGTCAAAATGACGAATGACTAGTAATTTCTCCTTGTAAGAAGAATGTGGCATTCAGAGTATAAAATTATTTGCTTTTAAGGTTTTCTCAGCACCACTTTTTATTATACGGTGATGCACTGTTTTTGTTACTAAGTGATAAAGACAAATATTTCACTCTACAGTATTTAAGAAAGGAAGACAAAACGCTGCTGTCGAGCTCTCCACGCAGGTCCTGTCAGGATGGATGGTGCTGCTACCAGCCACGGCACAGTCTTTTATTCTCTTTTTCATCTTCTCACTGACCCCTTGACCCCAAGAAAACAAGACTAAGCTAGGTCCGGGCACAGCCCCAAGAATCCCAAATCTGTCATGGCAAAGGCTTCCAGGTGACGTTCAGTGCCTCCAGCCCAGGAGGCTCTTCATGCCCATCACATCTAAGAGCTTCTGCTTTAATGAAAGACCCTGCTGAGGTCTAGCTGCAGCCAGTCTCAGTTCTCAAGAAGGAGCCCCTGTGACACCACCGCAAAGAGGAGATGTGAACCAAGCAGGAAAGGTGCCCAGAGTGAAAAATTACATGATGTTGAAGCAAGTTGAGTAGCAAGGAGAAGAATAAACACACTTCACCTCTCAGAGAAAAGAGCAAATATAACATAAAGAGCCACTAATTGTCCTCAGCAAAGCTGCTGTGATATAGGAGAAAGAGGAGACGCATGTCCCAATGTTTCCCAGCTGAGTTACTAATAACCCCAAGCCTCAGTTTCCTTCTAAGAAAAATTTTACTTACATTCACAGGATAGTTTTGGGAAATAAATAATGAAATAATATTTTTAAAAGTAATATGCTGGTTATAAGTACTAATGGAACTAAGACAGTGTTATAATAAATTCTATACATTTCTCCTGGCCTAGGACCTCCCTCACCTTAAGTAACTTACCGTCTATTAATTTCCCAGGGCTACCATAACACAACAGATTCTTTTTTTTTTTTTGGTCTCACAACTCTGGACATTAATAGTCTCAAAAGTCAAGGTGTCATTAGGATTTGTTTCCTTCTGAGAGCTATAGGGGAGAATCTATTCTGTGTCTTCCTCCTAGCTTCTGGTG